GTGTGTGTGTGTGTGTGTGTGTGTGTGTGTGTGCTGTGTGTGTGTGTGTGTGTTTGTGTGTGGTGTGTGTGTTGTGTGTGTGTTGTGTGTGTGGTGTGTGTGTGTGTGTGTGTGCTGGTGTGTGTGTTGTGTGTGTGTGTGTGTGTGTGGTTGTGTGTGGTGTGTGTGTGTGGTGTGTGTGTGTGTGTGTGGTGTGTGTGTGTGTGTGTGTGTGTGTGTGTGTGGTGTGTGTGTGTGTGTGTGTGTGTGTGTGTGTGTGTGTGTGTGTGTGTGTGTGTGTGTGTGTGTGTGTGTGTGTGTGTGTGTGTGTGTGTGTGTGTGTGTGTGTGTGTGTGTTTCACAAGCCATCAGCAGAAGTACATAAATTACATTGGCAGTTTGTCGACGTCGCCGTCGTCGTTGGCGTTGATTGTTGTTGAAGTTGTCGCCAGATCGGTCGCTTTGTTGCCGGCATTGTTTGAGCCAGGCCTACAAAAGTCTCCCAAGATTTTATTGGCTCGTAGTCGGCGTTACCGTTGCGAAACGTGTCCACAATGGAGTCCGGTCCGGTTTAATGCGTTTTAGCGAGCATATAATAGAAAAGCTTGCGAAATATTTATACGTACACACATATCTAGCTCGCACTCGAACGCGTACTCATACTCGAACCGCTCGACTATCTCAACTATCCGTGGCGTCGAGCTGTTTGAGCCGCAATTGAAATGAATGACCCGCTATTCATTCGATGAACCTGAATGGGTTTTGCTTATCCAACTGAATGCCACATTTTCTGCTAATTGCTTAACAATTCCAATTTCACATCTCTCTAGATTGCAGCTGCACAAAAGTCGTTTATATATTTTTTAATATAATATTCATAAACTCTTTAAATTAATTAACATGACTACAGTCCATTTAATTATGTTGCTTATGCAAGCTTTAATTGCAAAGAAAATAATAACTGAAGCATTATTACTTGAATCATTTTTTCATCATCCGTAAAGTTAACTTTCAAGCAAGTTCAAATATTTTTTTTTTGCTATTACTATTCAACAGACAAGCTGCACAGCACAGGCATTGTTTTTTCTTCTTTTCACACACAAACTTAGACGACCCGCCCTGTTCCTCAAAATATTGCTTTTAGACTTCAATCGAGTTATATTTATATTTATATACTTGACGAGCCCACAACTGAATTGCCTTAACATTTATTTTTATTGATGTGTGAATATATACATATACATAAATGTAAAAATATACTTACCCAAAAATTCACCCACAAACGTATGATTATTTGATTGTTATCGTAGGAGGCAGACAGAACTTGTTTGGCACACAACATCACAGAAAGAACGAAGAGCGGCAGAGAAAAATATGAATGAAATGAGGGAGGAAGAGAAAGAGAGAGAGAGAGGGGGGAGAGAGGGAGTGAGAGAGTGGGAGACAGAGAGAGAGAGAGTGAGAAAGAGATAGAGAAAGGGGGGAAAGAGGCAGAGAGAGAGAAAGAGTGAGATAGAGACAGAGAGAGGGCGAGAGAGAGAGAGATGGAGACGAGGGTGAGAGAGGGCAGAGAGAGGCAGAGATAGAGAGAGAGAGAGGGAGAGAGAGAGAGAGAGAGAGAGAGAGAGAGAGAGAGAGAGAGAGAGAGAGAGAGAGAGAGAGACAGAAAGAGAGAGAGAGAGCGAGAGCGAGAGCGAGAGAGAGAGAGAAAGTGATTTAGAGTGAGAGTATAAGCAGAGATAAAATTGATCAAACTTATAATCGAAAGCATGCAAAGCTCTAAGCCTTATTTGAATCTATGAGAATCGCAAAGAAAGGCGCAATTTTATAAACACGTAATGTTAAGCTAGCCGCGCAGCGGCAAGTAACCTCATATCATAAGATCATATATGATATAGAAGATGTTAACTCTAGCAAGAAATGAAATAATTTCTTCGAGTAATCAAAAACAACTCATGCTCCAAAACCTCCTTCTAAAACAAACGCTATCAATAAATTATAAACATAAGATGTGTTGTGCGCTATCTAAATAGATTGACAAACAGTAAAACAGGTCATGCTATGAAGCGAGTAGTTATCAATGTGGAATTAAAGAATATTACCCGAACAATAAGAAAAAGAACTCCGAGAGGGCCAATCACATTTCAAGAGCTATGCGTATGGAAACTGAACAAGCTTCAAGCAATGTTCGTAATGTATAACTAAATCAAGGAAACAAAGTTGTGAGACAACATTTGTGTATGCAGCATTCGTTTCGAGCATTTTAGAATGGATGCCAATTTATAATTAAGTAATTTTGAGTATTTTCGTATTCGTTTCCTCGTTATGTTGCGCAAGTCAGCAAAATTGTTATTATTGCTTATTAGATGTGATTAAACATAACTATAATTGGCCTCGTTATATAAAAGCCCAAATTCATGAATCAGACTTTTCAGCTGAAGCAATACGGGTAAGAAAAAAACTGAGTAAAACATAGAAGTGTACAAAACCAAAGAATAGATAAAGGTAAACATCTGCAAGTCTCTTGAAATTATAATAATTAGCTGAAAGATGAAGCCAAAGCTGGAAATCTCTAAGTTAACCTTAGTCTAACTGACAGATCTTTGTTTATCTATTTATATATCTATGGGTAACATCATTTTAGAGGTAGACATCCCCGACCCTAAAGTCAAGACAGTCGAGTCCGTCTGTCTAAGTGTTTTTTTTTTTTTTTTTTGCAGACTTTAAGACTTTGCTTGTGTCCGCATTTCTGTTGCATGCCGGATCGGAACTCTATATCCTATTGCTGCCATTGAGATGTTGGATGAACAACTTCTTCGGGTTTTCCAAAAATCTTGAGCGAAGTTGAGACCTTTTGATTGCAAAATCGAACTACTATATCATATAGTTGCGATCGGTAAAGAATGAAGTTCTTACATGAACTTCGAGCTACTTTTAACACACACAAAGTCTTAACAATATCGGACTACTATATTGTAGTACAGGAATAATCGGTCCAAAATGAGTTTCTGGGAGGACAATCTTTTGCTTGAGTGAACCTTAGATTTATAAGCATGACAAATCAAGATCGAACTTCTATATCATATATATAATATAGGGATACTTGGTCGGAATTAGTTAGCTAATCAAGATCGGACTTCTATATGATATAGTTCAACAGGAATAATTAGTCGGCATCAAGATCGAACTTCTATATCATATAGTTCTATAGGGATACTTCGTTGGAATTAGTTAGCTAATCAAGATCGGACTTCCATATCATATATATCATATAGGGAAACCTGGCAGGAATTAGTTGTCATTTTATAAAAGCTCTTCTAGGCCATAAGCCCACCAGACTAGGGTATTTGATGTTCGGTGTGCTCGTTGTGTTTAGGATTTGTCGGGCATACCGGTTAGGCTATGCTTTGACTGAAATACCCAACTAACCTTGGGTGAAATGCTGAATGCCATGGCCAGAAGGTGGCCGTGCTGCCGATCTGCCAGCACCTGTTGCCAAATGCTGTCGCAAAGCAAAAACCAAAAACCGGCTGGTAGAACCTTACCAAGTGGTCCAAGTCCCAATAAAACTGAGCACCGTTGGACGCACTGGTCAGTTGATACACTGGAACGCTAAAGCTGGGCAGAAATAGTCGCGCCTTAGTTAGTTGCTAGAATATAGGTCGACCAGTCTTGGAACGAGAAAGTGCGTCTGTCCGCGGGAGAGTGTGTGTGCGAGTGTGCGACTGTGTGTGTGTGTGTGGCATTTTACAAAAAAAAAAAAGATGCATATTTGAAAAGCGGTCCACGCCGTTAGCATCAGCATCAGCGAGTCGGGTCAGAGAATCGTTTTTAAGGCTTGGGGACCACACAGGAATACTTTTCTTATTTGATGTTAACAAAGCCAAAGACTGGCTACGACATTTCCATGGGATTATTAAATTTATATTTATGGTATCGAACACTTCTTTTGCACTTGGCAGCTGCACGATTCGGGATGTCTGGGGCCACACACATGGCTGTGCCGGCGCATGCCATGGGGCCAGCGGCCAGCGGAAGTGCTGCCTCCGGCCAGAGCCAGCCGCTGGGCAAGCGCGGCCACAAGCGCTCCATATCGCTGGAGAACAATGCGCCGCTGGCGCTGCGCAGTACGCCGAGCTTGGGCCAGAGCATGGGCCAGACGGCGCTCGGATCACCACAGCTGCAGCTGCCCGGGCACGCGGCACTGCATACGGGCACACTGAAGTCGCGCCAGGAGCAGCGGCGTCTGAGCCAGAAGTTTGGCAGCCACAGTAATCTGGATGACGATGCATTGAGCGGAGCACAGATGCGCAGCAAGTTCCAGAACATACGGCAAATGTTCGAGCTGAGCCGCAGCTGCGTGGCCAGCGCCGGCCAGCTGGGAGCTGATGACAGCAAGTCGGCCGAGGAGGCGCTCCAGTCATTGCCGGCAATGCTCAATGGCCCACAAACGACGTCAACGTTGCGCCGCACCACGCCCATAGCTGCCGGAAGCCGCCTGGCCATTAGCGAACAGCAGCCGCAGTTGCCGCAGCAGCCGGGCGAGGCCAAAGAACAGGTGAGGCTTGACATTGAGCTGGCATTAGGTGTGCCATGGGTCTTGGGTCTTGGGTTGGGCGCACTTGAAATTGATTGATGTCGCGCTTGCCTTTCGCTGCAGCAAATCGGGTCCGGCAACTTTCTGCGTCCGATCGCCTTCAAGCCCATTCCCTTTGAGCCGGACTATCGCATTGCCTCCCAGCAACAGCAGCAGCAGGCGCAGCAGCAGCAGCAGATGCAGCAGCAGTCGCATTCGGCACAGCAGCCGGTGCCGGGCGAGCGTTACGGCTACGGTTCGACGCCCTCGCTGGTGCCGCTCTCCACGGCGGCCACACACAAATTTGGCAGTAAGTAATCCAATTTCTGCTACCGTCGGCCGTTCTACATTTTTTGCCTCATGCCAGGCACAACAGATCTGCGTCATTTGACGGCGCGCAGACGCGGCCACCGCGTCGTCCAGCGCAGCAGCAACGAGGATGGCCTAGGCCTGGGCCTGGGACTGGGTCTGGGATTGGGTCTGGGCCTGGAGTGTCTCAGCGGCCATGATAGGCCGGATGGCGGCAACAGGTAACAACAAGCTTCGCCTAATCTCTACAAGCATTTGGCAACTAACCCGAGTCTTGGTTAACGATTTGTAGCAAGAGCAATGCCGTGGCAGCTGGCAGCGATCTGACGCCGTCGCCCTCGGACTCGGGCATATCGGAGCTGGAGGCGGCGCTCAAGGACCGCGACTCGGAGCTGTCGTATCTGCGACAGGCAATGGAACAGAATGAGAAAGTAATTTTCAAAGTCCAAAAGGTTAAATAACAAACACGCCAATCCGCCAGCCTTACTGATAGACGCCACATTGTCCACTTTCATTTTCAACAGGACAAGGAAGTGTACTGGGAGCACGAGACGCAGCGCTTGAAGCTCTTCTACGAGAGCCAGCAGCGCGAGTATCATCTCAAGTTCAAGAAAATGGAGCAGCTGCTGGCCCTGCAGCAGTTCCAGCTCAAGCAGCACAATCTGCGCCAATCCGAGCAGCTGCACAAGCTGCAGCAGCAGCTCGATCTGACGCGCTGCAGCAACAAGAGCCTCAAGAACTCCGAGCAGCAGCTGCAGTGCTCCGCCCAGGAACTTAACCAGCAGCTGAACGAGGCTCAACAGACGATGGCCGCTCTGCGTCTCCAGCTGGAGGACAGCGAGTGGAAGGTTTGCGAACGCAACGGCGAAATAGCTTTACTCAAGACGCAGCTCAAGGAGGCGCATGTAAGTTCTGCTTCTTAATCCAAGTTCCAAAACAATTCCTAAACTCAAAGTAATTTAAAAACTGCTTCAAAACTGGCTCACTTGATCGTTTGGGCCACCGGGCTATGAAGTTGCTGGCTCAAATCTCTGCCTGGCCAGGATTGATTGGCTTTCCTATACACAAAACGTTCGTGGGTTTCGATTGACACAAAATTCACGTAGCACGTCCGAATAAATTCACACAAATGTGTGGAAATAAGTATAGATCCACCTATCGATTTGCTACTTATTTCCAAAATTCAATCGATCTGTTATGGAGATCTATTGGGTAAAGTTAGGTTAGCTGATAACGATTGTTATCGATTTAAGAGCAATGAAGCTTATCGATAATTCGATATGAATTCTTCAAAAAGTTATATTTGAAACGATCTATTGTTGGGTAAGGTTAGGCTAGCTGATATCGATTGTTATCGATTTTGGTGTAATCGAGTTTATCGATAATCCGATATAAATTCTCCAAAATTTATATTTTAAACGATCTATTATGGGGTACAATTAGCTTAGTTGATATCGATTGTTATCGGATTTGGGATAATCGAGCTTATCGATAATTCGACATAAATTGCCACATCATTTCCCAGGCATATATTTTGACCTAATGGATTCTCATTTCGTTTGCTCAGCTTGAAATCAACATGAAGGATCATGCAATTGTTAGCCTGAGACACAGCAACAACATCAACCAATTAAACAACAACAATAACAACAATAACAATAACAACAACAACAACAACTACAACAACAACTGTAAGACAATAACATGCCAAAGTCAACCAAAGCAGCAGACGGAGGAAAACCAGCAACAGGAGCAACAGCTGCAGCAGCTAAACAAAATCATTGCGCTCAAGGATCAGGTGATCGGAGCGCTGACCAACGAGCTGGCCAAGCTGCGCAAGGAGCTATCCGATCTGGCCATTGCGCACGAGTACGGCGAGGAGCCCTGCGGCCGTTATACGCGCCTCAAGCAGCAGCTGGACAACTTGAACGAGATCTGCCAGAAGACGCGCAAGTATACGAGTCAGGCGGCGACAACAACAGCCAAGCCACAGACGACGGCACCACAGCAACTGGACGCCATCATGGAGCGACTGCAGCTGGATCAGGGCCAGCCGGCGCAGCAAGCCCTGGACACGCTCATCGAGGAGTCGACCACCTACGCCGAAGACATAGCCAAGCTGCGTCAAAAGCTCGACGATTTCCGCATCAATCTGGAGCTGGAGAAGCGTCAATGGTGCGCCGAAAAGGACAAAGTCCTCGGCTATCAAAAGCAGCTCCAGGCCCACTACATACACATGTACCAGAAGCTGCGCTGCCTGGACACAGCTGCCACCACGAACGCAGCTCCAGCTCCAGATCCAGCTCCGGCGCCAGTTCCCACTGCAAAGGAGGTAAGCAACCAGGGCTGAACAGTTTTCGTAATTGCCCAGTTCATGGTGCTCTTAGACTCTGGATGAGTGACTCCTGCTGTTTTGCCCGCTCCGATTTTGGCCTGCGTTTTGATAATTCATACACATTTATATAAATATATATCTTGCCTGTACGAAGCAACATTGTCTACGTTTAATAATCAATTACTATATTTATGCTATGTCCAGTTACCCGAAATGCTTGACTATAGTTCGGTTGAATTAACTCCGATCTTTGCATTTTTCTAACTTTTATTGGAATCCAAAATTTGTTTAGAAATGACCCCCAAACACCGACTATATAACATATACTCGAGATATTCCAATCAGAACATTTTTGAATACAATAAATGACTTATTATGGGAACCAATATTTCTTGATATCACGAATACTGTGAAGCATGTTGAACACATCAATTTTATGCCGGGCATCGCCGAGTTATTTCTTCCAAAATACAAAATATTTTTCACATCAAATAATTGTAAAGCAATTGCAATTTGCCTAGCGTAAATATAGTAAATGCCCCATATCGGATATATGATTTTGAACATTAAATACAATTATTTTTGATATATTTATAAGAAAAATACAAGCTATGCTACAAATATCTAGTATATATATACGCATATATCTTCTGTTTTTAATTCTTTACATAATTTATTAAGAAAAAGAATAAAAAAAAAACAATTTTCGATTCTGTTTAATATATATTCATTTGTGTGTTATATGTAGTTCCATTATGTAAATGAAAAAAAAAAAACAAACAAATTATATTTATTCAATATGATAATTACACGTAGTCAAGTATATGTGTGCAAGAGAAATGGCTTAACTGGGCGCTATAAATAATAATAATAATTAAAAAAAAAATATATTTAAATATATAATTTTGTGTTCCTTTTGTAACATTTAGATATTTTAATGCAGAGACCTTTAAAGCTCGTTGTAAGCATATATTAAAAGGGGCAGATAAGCGAAATTAAATACAATATGACATTCTTCAAAACTCATCCACGCACAAACACACGCACACACACGCACACACACAAACAAGCTTAAGTATCACACTCACACTCTTACATAACTAAGTGGCTTATATGGTTACGATATGCTAGACACACTCCTCCACGTAGGTAGCCGGAAAGATGCCAATTTGATTGCGCAATGCGCCCAGCCACCAGCCGTCGTCCTGTTTGGCATGTACCTCGATAACATCGCCAGGACTCAGCTCCAATTCGTCGTAGAGTTTTGGTGTGTAGCTGTAGAGCGCCTTGCAGCGTCCGAGCACCTGACACTGTCCGCCATCTTTGGAGCTGACGCTGGTGAAATTGCTATTGGCGCCTTGGGAGCTCATGGATGAGCTTTGCACCTCCTGCGCATTTTGATAGAAATTCTGTGTTGTTAGCGGCTCAGCCTCATCCTCGTCCTGCGAACTAAACTCATCAAAGTCAGAGTCCTGCTGATTGGAGCCACCATCTGCCTGGCCGCGATCCCCATTCGTTTGGCCAGCGGACAGCGTTTTCGACTTGGCCGCTGTCGCCGTCGCCGTCGCCGCCAGCGATGCATTGGTTGTGGAGATTATCTTTGGTTGGCTGGTAAAGGTTTCAATATTGCTCTTGCTGCGATTGAAGTGCTTCAGCAGCGCCGATGTGGGCGCAGCCACCACGCTTATGTTTGCACAGGAGCTGTTCGTCTGACTCTGCAATTGCGAATAGTCATCCTCATCATCCGCGATGGCATCGCTATTATCCTGCGACAGCAACGTACTCGTATTCTGTGTCTTATCATTGTTCTTCATCCAGTTGGGCACCTTGAGAATGCTCTGCTGCAGGCCCGTGCGATCCCGTGTGATCTGCGGAATAGGCATAACTGGTTATAATTGTTGTTTCGATAAAGATCGTGGGCATATATGTATCTGTACCTGTATATGCTGCGCCAGCGGATGTGTTGTGCGCGGCTTGTGGTCCAGCTCGAGCAGCGCCGAGTGCAGCTTCAGACGTGCGCCCTCCAAATAAGTCAGCATGGAGCGAATCTGCAGAAGAGATCAAAGTGACAAGTTAAATCTATTCAATTCTTCGGCTAAAGCTATGAAAACGTACATGGTATAGCTTATCGGTAATGTTCTGATGCTCCTGGTTGTTGAGCGACTGTGATAGGCCGCGCAGGCCATCTCTGGAGCGTCGCTCCCGTTCCAAATCTGTTTTGACCAGCTGCAGCAGCTTGATCAGCGAGTGCTTGCGCCGCTCACGGTTCATGGCCAGCGTGGTGTGCTCGCAATAGAAGTCGGGCAGTAGCTGCTCGCTGGGACCCTCGGAATTGCGGCGTATATTGCGCACCACCTGCATATCCTTGGCCACATTGCAGGCATCCAGCTGCTGCTGCAGACTGTTGGTTAGGCTGCCCAAAATGGGATTCATATCGCTGATAAGGCGCGCATATTGCTGCACAAAGTTATGCATGTTGCCCACACGGTGCTGCTCGCTGCTTTGCAACTGGGAGGAGCCGCGCAGCACGGCCATTTCCCAGTCGACACGGGCACGCTCGGCGCGCACGCACAGCGTATAGTATTCAACGTCCGCCCGTTTGACCGCCTCCTCGGCCTTCTTGCGCTTGTTGTCCAGCTTGACGCAGTCTTTTTCGGCCGACTTGAGCTCCTTCTCGGCGGCCACCTTGTTGGGCCCCTGATGTAGCAGCGCTATCGATGGCGATTTCTGTATGCGCACGTCCAGCATCGCATCCTGCAGCTTCTCGTTCTCCCTAGCGGCCGTGTGCGAGGCCTTCTTGGCCTTTGCCTCGCTCACGCGCCACTCGCTCAGCACACGGGCCGCTTTGTCCACATTGCTTTCGACCTGGATTCAAATATACATATATGTTCGTTTAGGATCGCACTCGATTCGCATGGGCTGCACTAACTTACCACCTTGCGGGTCTTGTGATGATTATCCACGACCGTCTTGAGCGGCTTGACAAGCTCATCGGTCAGCGAGGCAGCCAGCTGGCGATGGATGTCGCTGCGACTTTCCATTTCTGTAGCAACACCACGCCAGGCATCTGCCACACTTCCGGGCACCTCCCGGCCAGCTTTATTCAGTTTATTGGCCAACTTCGAGAGCGACTTGGAGTAGATCAGCTCCGAGTCGGCACTAGATGATTGTCAGAAAACAGATAATTAATAATCAGCAATATTTAAAAATATACCATAAATTTGATTCTGATCTAGAATATGAATATTTTATGGTTAAGGTCATGTCTCTTTCTGCACAAGACTAGGCTTATAATTCTCACATAGGTATAGCTTCAGGCTGAGGACAAGGCGCCGCAAATCTAACTCTAGTTAGCTTCTTAGGCAGGTTCTAGAAATAGCTACACAAGTTTATATCCCTTGAAGCTTGAAGATTTAATCTTCTGTGTGCGAGATGCTAATGTAGCTAGAGCCTACAGACTTGGAGCAAATGGATAGATCTTAACAGAGATCTTATTCATTTGCACTAAATCAGTATAGTATACGAGAGCCCTCGACTGCGACTACCTTGTTTACCCGAACCAAACCTCTCCATGTTTGGACTTATTTTATTGGGCTCTAGGCATAATCCTGGCTAACACTAGGGAGACTTACCGCTCTTGGAGAACAAATATAAGCTCTTTGCTGAAGTCGCCGCCCTGTTTAACATAGCGTCTGAGTTCCTCGAAGCCGTTTTGTCCCTATCGGGGAGAAAGAGAGAGAGAGAGAGAAATGTTAAAAGAGATCACAAGCATCGGGTGCACATATGAACGTGGTATATGCGGATTGGGACCAAACAATGCTCCAGCCTCGTCTGTACCTCATCTTTGAAGCGTTTGGAGTGCGGCGACAGATCCTCATCACTGGGTTGTTGGGACAGTGAAGGTTCGTACTCGGTGCGATCGGTGACATCCTCGCAGCTTTCGGTCATATCCCGATCCCGATCGCGATCGCGATCCCGACTGCGGTCTGGCGACATTGACTGGCGGCTGGCATTGCCGGTAGACTGATTAAGATTGGTTTTAGATTGTGCCACACGTTTCAGTGGCGTTTGCTGGCGCACTGCTTCCTTCAGCTTGGTGCTCTCCTCGCCGAGCCAGTGCTTCATGCCGTGCCAGCCCTTGCGTAGCTTCTCCTTGTTGTGATTAAAGTTGATCAGACGCTGGTTCTTATTCTTGAGCAGTGTGATGCGACGCTCGCTGGGACGCAGCTGATCCCGATGCGTGCAGTACTCCAGATCGATTTCCCGGTTGAAATCTTCCGTCTCGTTGATCTGCCTGGTTATCTCCTGCAGCTCATCAATGGACACAAACAGATTTTGGGCATTCAGGCTCTGATAGCTAACCGACTTGAGATCGTAGTCAAACTCCTCGTTGATGCTGACCTGGCTGTGGCTTCGATGGCTTCTGCTCCTGCTCCTGCTTCTACTTCTGCTGCTGCGACAGCTGGTCAGGCTCTGCTTGGAGCTATGCTTCGATGGCATCAGCTGAAAGGAGTCGATGCTCTTGAAGCACTGCTGCTGCGCCAAAAAGCCACAAATGATGTGTGCGCTCGGATCGGATTCTTGATTGTCCTGCTGGCCACGTTGGGGTGTGCTATGATGGTTTTCCTTGTTGTCGCTGGCCGCCAAGCTCAGCTCACTTGTGCCGTACAGCTCTGGCAGCTCGGGCAGGTTTAGACCCAGCTGAGGCGGTGCCGTCATGTTCATGTCCAGCGTCATCGATGGCGACTTGTGTAGATAGACCTTCAGCTCGGATCGATGTAGATTCTGCACGGATTGCGACTGTTGTTGGCGGGCAATGCGTGGCCGTCGCATTGGCGGCTCCACACCCAGCTGCGGGAGCGGGAGTGCGGGTGGTGGTGGCGGTGGCGTCGGTGGCGGGGATAGCATTCGGTCGGGTTGATGCGTTGGCGTCTCAAAATGCTCCGTTTCCGGATCGGCGCTGGTCGGCTGCTCGATTTGCGGCGTGCCACAAGCATCCACGAACTCTTCCTCATCGGAGCTGCGCGGCGTTAGGGTGCGGACTATCGAGGATGTCTTCGCAATGCCGCCCCCAATCTGTTTGAGACGCGCCTCCGTCACACCAAAGCGATCTGTGTCCAGTGTTGTGGTCGATATCAGAATGGGCGCACCAATCTCTAGCCGATGGTCTTCGGAATTGCTGCCGGTCATATTGTAGCTGCCCGTGGCCAGCTTGCTGGGTGAGCCGGAGCGATCCTTGCCGGCAACCCCGCCCGACAGAGTCATGCTGCCCAAATGGCGACGGCTGAGCTTATGCCCGAGCACCGAGTAACGTTTGATGCGGGTGAGGAATCCTTTGCCGCTGCTCCCATTATTATTGTTAATGTTGTTATTGTTGTTGTTGTTGCTAATGCTGTTATTGTTGTCGGCGACGGCAGCGCTTGAAGGAATTTCAGCAACAGCCGCATTGTCCTTGCCGCCCAATTTGAATTTATGCGCGCGCAAATGGTTCATCGTTCTACGCGAATTATTTTAATAAAAATTTGATTAGCTTTTTGATTTCAATTCGATTCGATCTGCGTGAATCTCACATACG